AGCAGAAGCGCCGCCACTTCGTCGAGGGTGGTGACTACGGCAACCGTGACACTCTTGTCAACCGCTTCCTCGCCCGCATGATTTAGGTCAACACGGTAGCTGTGCATGATATGTTTCGATTTTTCCATTTCTTTGTTTATTAATCGTTGGCTTTTGTGTGCTGGTGCTGTTACACGAACTGAGTGTTGTCGTGCACGTTCTGCGCCTCTCTGCTGATTGGAAAAATGCAACGTTGTCCGTCTTGTCTCCAACACCCACATCGCAACAAACACACAGGAAGAAAAAGGTAGAGAACATGCCCGCGAAGACTGTCCCTGCCCCGGAGTCCGCTATCAAGCGCGCTGCATTCAAGCAGCAGCAGACGGAGAACTTCAAGAAGGCGGTTGTCGCCAACAAGGCTGCCAAGGCTTCGCTGAAGAAGCTGGCGTACACGCGCGGTCTCAAGTACTCCCGCGAGTACCGCTCCACCGAGAAGAAGCTCGTGCACCTGCGCCGCCAGGCGAAGAGCCACGGGAACTACTACCTTGAGGCGAAGCCGAAGGTGGCGGTGGTCACTCGCATCCGCGGTATCGCGAAGGTGGCGCCCAAGCAGCGCAAGATCCTGCAGCTGCTGCGCCTGCGCCAGATCTTCAACACCGTCTTTGTGCGGTTGAACAAGCCCATGGAGAACATGCTCCGCGCCGTCGAGCCCTACATCACGTACGGCTACCCGTCCCTGCGCACTGTGCGTGCGATGGTGTACAAGCGCGGCCACCTGAAGATCAACGGGCAGCGCGTGAAGATCAGCGACAACCAGATGATCAAGGACAAGTACAACAACGATGATGTTGTCTGCGCCGAGGACATCGTGAACCAGATCTACACTGGCGGCAAGCACTTCCGTGCTGTGACGAACGGCCTGTGGCCCTTCAAGCTGGCCCCGCCGGCCGGTGGCATGAAGCAGAAGCGCCGCCACTTCGTCGAGGGTGGTGACTACGGCAACCGTGACACTCTTGTCAACCGCTTCCTCGCCCGCATGATTTAGGGTGAAGCATCTCTACCCACTCCCAACGAAATGATTCATTTAGTTTGTTTTTGATCCTTTTCTATTTTTTGTGTGGGCTCTATATGCTTGTATGCTTACGATTTCTCGGGAGCACAGTTTTCTTTGCCACTCTGACGTTGTGTGATTACTTTCCCCTTTCTCCTGTCTTCGCCTCAACGTGTCTCTCGTCAGTGGCTCCACTAGAAAGTCATAGGCGTTGTGCCGCGATGAATATGTCATCATCTTCGTCACCACCAGTGAAGAAAACGATGCCGTTTTTCCAACGCTACCGTGAGCGTAATGAGCGATACGACGTTCGAGACGCCCCAGAGGCCAATGCTGTTGTGAAGAGCGCTCTGCCGAACGACAGCATTATCACACAGGCGGATCGGACCGCAGCAGCGACGACCAGACGCACCTCACCGACCGCAGCGGTCGACCTCGATGGCGAGAATAAAGACTGCAATGATGAAATGGGCGACCTCAACGTTCGCCTCGCCATGCTCAAGGCATCGCCGACAAACAGATCACCGGTGCTCGCACCAACCACGTCGATGCTCCCCCTCCGTCTAATCGGCAGTGGCTGTCCGATTACATTGGTGCTTGACGTTGACGAAACGTTGGTACACTCCTCCGTTGTAAATAAGGACGGACCGTTCGATACATGTTTGAATGTTGAGGCAAACAATCGGAATGTGAACATTTATGTGAAGTACCGCCCATTCCTTCACGAGTTCCTGAACGTTGTGTCTCGGATGTTTGAGGTTGTTATATTCACTGCAAGCCATTCTGCGTACTGCACGGCTTTGATGGATCAACTTGATCCGGAAGGCAAGCTGGGCTTCTTGCGGCTCTTCCGCGAGCACTGCACGAAGTGTGACGGCTCGTTCGTGAAGGATTTGTGGCTTTTGGGGCGCCCTCTGAACCGAATTATTCTGCTGGACAACAGCCCTACTGCCTATTTATTTCAGCCGCGCAACGGTTTGCCGATCGTTTCCTGGTTTGGTGACCCAAATGATTGTGCCCTTCTGGACCTGATACCACTCTTGGGGAGACTTTCGTGTGCTGATAACGTATATGGCCTCCTCGATGACTACAATGCACGCATTAACTGGCGATATAGGCGTTCCCAGCGTTGATCTCAATGCACTTTTTATTTCCGTGGTTTCACCGTTTTGTGTTACTCTTTGTGTGTCTGCCTGTGTATGTGTGAAGGGTGATAGTGTCAATGTTGTTTCTTTTGTTTTCATCTGTGACAGTGTGAGCTTTCCATCAGAGTTTTTTTTTGTTTGTTGTTGATGTTGTTGTTGTTGTTGTTGTACAATACGTCCCCAACCAGCAATGTAAAAAAAAAGACCTTGGTCAGGCCACTTTGTCTACGCTTATTGCTTCTGGTTATGCAAGCATCAGCGTTTTTATGCGTCTGCACTATCTATTCCGCAGTTTTGTCCGGATATAACCCCACCCGCTTGCTTTACATGTGACTGAGTTTGAAACGCAGCGGCGGGAAGACATTTTCAGTGGGGGAGATGTTCTGTGATTTTACTTGGTGTGTGCCCTGCCGGGACGTGAGTTGCGGCCAACGGCATACAAATAATAAGAAAAAAAAACTGAGAAACAAAGACTACAGTTTGAATATCAAGTTGAAACTTGTGCAAGTGTTCTACCATGCTTACCTTGTCTATCTATTTATGTGTTTTTTTTTTTAAAAACAGTAGTCTCCTTCAGGTTCATGTTTTTTTTTTGTTCGTGCCGTCTGAAGAGTAATAAGAAGTTTCCTCTCAACCATGGGGGGATGTGTTCTCTCATTTCGCCACCACGCGGGGCGTGGCGCTGTGCATTCGTGGAGACTATGCAACGAAGTTTTTTTTTTTTCCACGTCCTCTCTCTGCGGATGAAGCGCAGGTGTGTGTAGAACATTCTTCTTGAAGATTTCTTCTCTTTTGTGGGGGGTAATATATTTGCGCTACACTCTCTTTTCCCTCTCTCTCTCTCTCTCTCTATCTATCTATCCGTCCAGCAGGGCTCGGTGTGTTGGGCGTAGGGTGTCGGGTACAATGGAGGAAGGGCGGCAGCAGCGGTCTGGCGGTGTGTCACCTGGCACCATTCCCCACAGCTGCGCCGTGTCAAATGAGAAGAGGACGCCACTCTCTTCGTCACGCCCGGTGGTTAAAGCGGCGGGGGCGCTGAAGGCAAGTGTGGCGCTGTCCGATGTCGCCAAGGTCTCTCCCGCTCCACACCAGCCGCAGCAGCCAAAACTGTCATGCGGGGAAGAGGTGGCGGCATCCGAGAGTAATGCGGTGACAAGGGACGCGCGCCTGCGGGAAAAATACGCTGTCGTGAAGAACATGCGCGCCCACGAGGCTCGAGAGGCGCTTGGGCGTGAGTGCGAATTGTCACACCTTATTATCGAGCTAAAGAAGCGCCTAAAAGAGATGGAGGTGTCGCACAATGTTGAGCGGGAAACCCACGCGCGGGAGTCCTTCTACCTGATCAAGGAGAATGAAGGGCTGAAAGAGCAAGTACGCTTGGCAGAGAAGATGCTGACCGATGCTCGTAGTAGTTTCGAGGCGGAGATGCAGCAGATGCGTACACAGATGTGCGACTTAAAGCAAAAACTACATGAGGAGTGGCTCCGCGCTACCGCACGAGAGGCTGAACATGAGCGTGTTGTGCAGCACCTCTGTAGCAGCCTCCACGCCACGCAAGCTGAGATGGAGCGCTACGCGGAGGAGAACCGTGAGCTGGCTTCTGTGAAGGAGGCACTGAGGAACATGACGGCGAAATGCGTGGGGGCGCAAGAGGAGTGCAGCCTGTGGCATGAGGTGCTGCGCCGCCGCGAGGTGTTTCTGCTGCTTGAGAGGGAAATGCTTGTGGAGCTCCAGAGTGACTGCGCACGGACGCTGTGCAGCAGCTGGCGCCAACAGGAAGAGCCGCTGCGCGCGCGGGTGTCGGGCGATGCCAATCGCGTTATTGCCAGCATGCGTAGCAGTGTTGATGTGTACGATGAGGTAAAGCGTCTACTGCTGGAAGATGCCACGGCGTCAGTGGAGCGAGCAGCGCTTGTTGCACAGCATCGCTCCAGTGTGCAGGAGGCGTTGCGTCTGGGTGAGAAGCACGAAGCATTGTCTGCTATGTTTGCGCAGTGCATGCGGGATTTTGACGCCACTCGGGACGGCTATCTCGAGAATGTGGCGTGGCTGAAGACGTTGGATGACGCCACGCTTAGTTATGTGCTGCGTCAACGCGATGATGAGGTAGCGGATAAATTGCGCACCTGGAAGGACGCGTTGCTGGAAGCGCACAGGCTTCTGCGCGCGCTGTTGATGCGTTATGAGCCTTTTCAGCGTGGGGATGAGGATTTCGTGAAGCACGTTATTGAATGTTTGGCGTCTGCTCCACATGTAAAGGATCCTGTCAATGTATGGCTGCACTGAGCCGAATATGTGTATTTTCTCCCCTGCCCTTGTCACACGATCCCCTGTGTAATCACGGCTTGCGCCACCTCAGAGTGGCGTTCTGGCACTGTGAGGTGACTTCCGTCTTGCGACCATTCGCTTGCTTACTGTGGTGGCCGTCACGCTCTTTTCTCTCTCTCTGTCTGTGTATGTATGTGTGTGGATGAGGGCAAGGGATGGACCTCGCGTTCAGCCAGACAGAGGTGGGAAACCTCATCCGAGAAAAGAGCTCGGAGCTTGGTGGCGTTGGTGCGGCGTTGGCGTACGTCCACAATCACCTCCGCGACGTCATGCTCGGCACCGTCCCTGCGGTGCCGCTCCACGATGTGTTTCCGCTGAGCCCGTTGCGGCGCCTTCCAGGAAAGCTGTGCCGCTGCCGCGGCATGATACAGGAGGTGGAGCCGAACATCACGCTGTACCGTGCCTCGTGCGCGGATTTCTTTGGTACCGTGTCCGGTGACGATGCGGCGATGTTAGAGGCAACGTTGTTTTACGTCATTCCTGTGCCGGGAAATGCGCACTTCTACGACGCGCAGCATGAGGGGGCGGCAGATGATGAGCGCACTGCCTTCTCCGAGCAGATGGCACTTCGCCATGCTTCCATGGGTCGCAAGCGCCGCTATCGACCAGACGACGATCAACAGCAACAGCAGCAGCAATCACAACACGATGAGAATGAGGGCGGTGTCACGGAGCGCGGCACCCGGCAGCGCCGCGAAGACGCGGTGGTACCACAGAGCCGTGACGACCCCCAGCCGGTGTTGGGGGTGCCGCTCCATCAGCAGTTGAACCTTCCGCATCCACCAGTCTCTGCTGCCCTACATACAGCATGCATAGTGACTGTCATTCAGCACAGCAATGCAGACAAGGAACGGCTGCAGCTGAATGATGTGGTTGATTTTTTTGGTTTTCTTGATGATCCACCCGCGTCCCTGAGCACGCACGACACCGGTGAATTTGACGAGCTCGAAGGTTTTGGTGCCTGGCATGCGGAGGAGCTTCCGTCGGGGTTGCTCTCGCGTATGACGTGCATGTCATGGCGACATGTCTATAGTGCACCGGAACGGCCGTTGTTGCCAGTTTTCTTTGAAAGCAGGCGACCACTTGTGGTGCAGTACATGACCCACACTATTTGCGAAGGTGACGCCCTGCTTGCGGAGTACATTCTTCTGCACCTTTGTTCACGTGTTGTGACACATGAAAGTGCCACACCCATTGGTGATGTTCCTCTACGCGTTGAGGGCCAAGACCTGAACCCTGGGGCGTGGTCGGCGTACCTGCGGGATGTGGTTCCCGTTGGTGAGGTGTTGCTTGATGGGACGCAGCTGTTGGACACGACACGGCGCATCACCCCGCAACAGGACCAGGTGACGAATGTGCTGCGCACCGGTATGCTGCAGCTCGCCAATGGGACGCACGTCACGCTGGACTGCAGTGCGGTAGCCAAATCAACCTCTACTCTGCAGGATGCCCTCTTTGTGGTCATACATAAAGAGATGCTACCGCTTGAATACCCGTACCAGATGTATGAGGTTCCCATTGACCTCAGCTTCCTCGCCCTCTCATCAGCGACGATGGAAGAGGAGGTTGAACTGCTTCGGTTTGCTGTCTCCCTGCGGTGGACGCCGGAGCTTCCGGTAGACGCGGCGCCTTCCAACGGATTGACTACGGATGATGTGCGGGATTACTTGGCACAGGTGCGATGTGTGCGCCGCCGGTTTGAGAAGGATAACCCCTCTCGGGCACTTGGGCTGGCCGACAGGCTGGTTTCCTTTGGCAGGTCGGAGCCGCGCTGGAACAACCATGACCCATTCCTACACAACAATTCGTTTTCCATGACGGCCGCACTGATACGCGCGTGTGCGGCGAGCTTTGGTCGAGAGGTGATTTCCGATGACGATGTCGAGCACGTTCTGTCACTGGAGAGGCGGCGCATGGCTCGTCAGTGTTAAGAAAGGTTTCCAAGTGGGGGTGGAAGTTGAGGATTTGCTGCTTCCTTCGCCGTATTTGTTGTTGTTGTTTGATGTGTAATTTGAGGGCTTCGCTCCTCCTTTAACGATACAGAGTCGTTTTCCATGCTCTTTCTTTGACTCCCTTCTTTTTCCTCCACTTCTACCCAGTTTCCGCCGCATCATTTGTCTCAAGTGCACATGTCCCTTGTGGAAATTCTCCCAAATTACTTTACCCTTCCGCCGGAGTCACCGCTGCGCGAGCAGATACGCAAGGCGTATAAGTGGTACTCTCCAAAATTCTCTCCCCGAAATATTCCCCGTTTCGCGGATGTCTCTAGCATCACTGAGAATCCGTCTGTGATGCGTGGAATTCGCGACTTCCTTGTGGCGCGTTACAGAAGCTTTCCGGAACCACCGACACACATGTCGGGTTTTGATGCCCGTGGTTTCCTTCTTGGGCCGATGATTGCTGTGGAGCTTGACATTCCTTTTGTGCTACTACGGAAGGCTGAGAAAAATGCGGGCCCTCTCATTAAGAGCGAGCCATACGAGAAGGAATACAAGGAGGATATACCGGACGTCATGACGCTTCGCAATGGCAGCATCAGCAAGGGTTCACGCGTTATTCTTGTAGATGATGTGCTTGCCACGGGCGGGACTGCACTCTCGGGGCTTCAACTCGTTGAGGCCAGCGGCGCTACTACCCTTGAGGTTGTTTCGGTTCTGGGACTGACGTTCCTCAAGGGCTCAGAGCTGTCGCACAAGTACAATGGCGGGCGTTACAGGAATGTTCCGTTTTTAACACTTGCGGAGGAAAGTATCCTAACTGAAGAAAATTGTGGTGATATTCCCAATTTCGAGGGCCCCCGTGTGATCAGCTACCGCGAGGCATTAAGCAAGCTCTAGCTGCCATGCATATCAATGGATAGTGCTAATTGTGATTATCACGACAACCGAAAAGCAGGCAAACAAAAGGAAATAAAAAAAAGAACAGAAATAGAAATGATATAAGGATAGTGAGGACATGCAGATTTGCCTTTGTGTTTGCTGTGTATCTGTTGGTGTGGGCTCTCTTCAGAGTTTTTGTGTGGTAAAGCATGATGCATAAATGTTTTTTTTTTTCGTTGAGTGTGCTTCAGTTAGTTTGGTGTGGGGTTTCCGATATTCAATGAACTGGCTGACGGCGCAAGCAGCCTGTTGCACCGCATTCAAACTTATACGTGTGCTGTTGCACTTCCGGGAATGACTGAAATACGATGTGTATGGCCTAGACACGCTCTCTTTTCTTCTTTCCCGTCCTTTTACACTGGCGGAAGCAGGACTGATTTGGGCATTCAAAAATACGGTCACTTGTCACTTATGTTTTGATTGTCGATGTTTGGTACAGACTTTGCTTTTGTTGGTAAGGCTATTGAAATGGTTAGGAATGTGAACTGTTTGGAGATCTTGAATCTGAGTGGAGCTTTCCCTTTATTCCTTACGACCAAACTGGTGGAGATGAATTTCTGCTGTAGCCCCATCACGGTTTGTGAATTGCCCGACAAGGCTTCCTTGTTTGGTGTGCTATTGGCGCCGTAGGTGGCGTTCACTTATCCCCTCCCCCTCCACGAAGAAAAAAGAAGTTTTTTTTTTTGTGTTTTCTGTTTTTTGTTTTCCCGACTGTTCCTCTGTTTCTGCTTTTCTTTTTTGTTTCTTTTCCACTCAGCAGCTGAGATGTCCATTGCTGTGTGTGCACCGAAGCATTTTGTGCTCAAGGAATCACATCCGCTAACAAAGGAGTTGTACGCAAATGTGTTTGGTGAACCATCACCGTCGCTGCACCGGAACGTGAGCCGTCTATTTGACGTCAGTAGTCTAACAGAGAACCCAGCCTTGTTCCGGCAGGTCATCCAGTTCCTTGGTGAACGCTACCGCAGCATGGGTGCCGATGGCCCGACTCACATCCTCGGTCTCGAGTCTCGTGGATACCTCATTGGAGCGCCTCTGGCACTGGAGCTTGGCATTCCTTTTGTTCTTGCCCGCGAAACGAAACGGTTTCCCTCTTCCTTTGTTCGTGAGAGTCCAAATGCCACCGCTTTGGTTCCATCTCACTCAATTCGTAACAACAGTATCTCAAGTGACTCACGTGTTCTCATTGTTGATGACTTCATCGCTACAGGCAAGACCGTCATCTCTGTGCTGTGGCTTACGGATATTGTTGGTGCCAAAGTGGTGGAAGTGGTGGCCGCGTGTGATGTGCCGCGCCTCAACGGTGTTGGTGCTATCCATAAGGCGGGTGATGGAACATTTAAAGAAATACCTGTATTGACGCTGATGCATTTCAAGGCGACCCGTGAGGCAATTAAAGCGCAGCTCCAAATTCTCAAGCCGATAACTGCCAGGTCTCAGTTGTGACCGCTGAAGGCAAACGGATGTGCATCGGTCTCGCTCAAGTTGCATGTTTTGTTTCCACGTCAATGTGGTGGCCAACTGGGGCGTTGACACCCGAGGGCGTTTGATGAAGAAGGCCTTCACTTCTTTCCCACCACCTCGTTGGAGACAATTGCCGTTGAGGTGTCTCTGTGTGCGTGTGTGCCCCCATCAAAAGGCGGAAGAAAAAGAAAGCAACAACAACAACAACAACCAAGTCGGAAAATGAAAGCGCCGGTACTTTCGCCATATCATTCGGATAGCTGTGTGCCTTCGCGGAATGGAGTCTCTTCGTTTAGAAACACGTGCGTAGCCGCTACACGTTTCGCAGTCCGCATGTATTTCTCGTTGTGTTTCCAACCATGTTGGCTTGGAGACCGTAAAAAAAAAAAAAAGAATGCGTGAAGTGTGGAGGTGTAAAGATCCGCAATTTTATTTCTGTCTGGGTTTGTTTGGGATTTGTTTTTACCCGCTGTTCCTTTTTTTGGTGTGAGCTTGTCGTTGCTCCGCCCTAGTGTATGTAATGGCTCCTTTTTTTTTTCTTTGTTGGGGTGGGGTGCTCCCTGCTCCTTTTTCTTCTGGCCTGCATTCTCCACAACGTGTAGGGGTCTTTAGGTGGCTCGGCTGGCAATGGCGGCTCACGCAGGCGTGGGTAATGCGGGGATTTTTTTCGCGCTGACCCTTACGACTGATCAAACGCTTTTTCTCCTTTACCACAAAGACAGCTACGCAGACAACCCGGTGATGCTGCGCAGCCCCAAGCCCATGGTGATGCGGGACGTCTTCTTGACAAAGGCCTCTAGTCTTTTCCCAAACCCATTATCCTGCGTATACGTCCACAAGACCTCTGATGCTGTTATAAATAGTTTGGCATCGTGGTTTGTGGTGAAGCCTATTGTGGAGATTATTGGGTGGAAATCCGGGTTGGCGCTTTATGCAGGGGCAGGACTGTTCAGTAGTTTTGCCTACCTGTTCAGTGGCCAGCTCAGCCCCACGAAGCTTAACACACGCTACGATTGCTGTGCCACGTCTAATGGGGCAGTTGCAGGTTTTGCCGCACTAAGTTTGGCTTTGCCGAAGTGCTACATTCCTGGAAGCAGGCGTGTTCCCGTGTACTACGTTGGTATTCCTTACATGTTGAAGTGCACCTACGATGAGTATATAGCACCCAAGTTTTTAGAAAGTAGGGATCCGGGCGCAATTGAGCTCCGGAATTGGGGGTTTGTTGGAGGCGTATTCTTCGCCATGATGTTTTCATCACTGGTGCTGAGAACACGCACGGATTTTGGGAGTATGAAAATTTTCTGGGGAAATATGAGAAATCGTTCCTTGTAGCTTCACATATCGTCGTGGATAAGGTATATGGGATGCGGCTCCACCACTTACCAGTCGCACCCCTGGTACACTTCTTTTCCTTTTTTTTTTTTTT